GACAGAGACTTTTATAGTTTGGCTGGAACATAGAAGGGATGGAGAGAGGGAGGGGTCGAGGGTGGCACATTGTGGAGGGCCTTGAATGCCTGGTGGAGGAATGCAAGCTTTACTCAGTAGAGAGTAGGGAACCACTGAGGGTCTGTGAGCAGAAGAGTGTATGAGGAGAACTATCCTGGCAGCATAGGAAGGATGCATTGCTGGGAGGAGTGTTAAGAGGTTACTAAGGATTGTTGGCTGCTGCCTGCCTCAGAACTGGGGAAAGGAGAAGGAAGGAAGGAAGGAAGGAAGGAAGGAAGGAAGGAAGGAAGGAAGGAAGGAAGGAAGGAAGGAAGGAAGGAAGGAAGGAAAAAAAGGGAGGGAGGCAAGGAGAGAGGGAAGAGGGGAAAGGAAGGAAGGGAGGGAGGGAGGAAGAGAGGGAAAGAGGGAAGGAACATAGATAGGAGGAGAAGAAAGGAAGAAAACAAGCATTTATTAAATGCCTACTGTGTGCAGCTAGGTGCCACAGTGGATAGGGTACAGAGCTTAGAGTCAGGATCACTCCTCTTTGTGAGTTCAAATCTAGACTCAGACACTTACCAACTGTGTGACCCTGGGCAAGTCACTTAAACCTGTTTGCCTCGGTTTCCTCATCTGTAAAATGAACTGGAGAAGGAAATGGCAAACTGCTCCAGTATCTCTGCCAAGAAAACCCCAATGGGGCCATGAAGAGTCAGACGCAACCAAACAATGACCACACAACAAACAGTAACAAGACTGTGGGCCAGCCTCTATGCTAAACTCTTCATAAATGTTCTCATTTGAGCCTCACAACGATAGGTGCTATTATTATTCCCACTTTACAGTTGAGGAAACTGAGGCAAACAGAGGTTGAACGACTTGCCCAGGGACACACGGCTGGTAAGTGTCTGAAGCCGGATTTGAACTGCAGTCTTCCTGACTCCAGGCCCAGCTCCCTAGCCACTGCATCTCCAGCTGCTTCTCAGACACCTCAAACTCAACGGCCCGTAGACATCTTAAACTCACTGTGTCCGAAACAGAACCCAGCATCTTTCCCCCAAACCCTCCCCACCCACTCCTTCCCTGTTACTGTAGAGGGCAGCGCTGTCCTCTCCGCTCCTCAGGCTCACAACCAGGAGCCATCCTGGACTCCTCCCGCTTGCTCACCCCCTCCCCCATCCAATACGGCGCCAAGGCCAGTAGATGTCATCTCTGCAGCATCTCTCCAATACGCCCTCTTCTCCCTGCTGCCACGTGCACCCCAGTGGTGCAGGCCCTCATCGCCTCCCCCTGGGATCCCTGCAGTAGCTGCTGGGGCCTCTGCCAGCCGAGTCCCTCCCCACTCTGTTCAGCCTCCAAAGGGCTTGTCCGAAAATGCGGGTCTGACCACTCCACATCTCTGGGATCAAAGGCTGTTTGTTCTCATCTTTTCACACCCCACTCTCCATTACATGACCCTGGCCTCCCTCCATCTCCCAGATCCAGGCCTTTTCAACAATCGACCCTCCGGCCTGGGACGCTCTCCTTCCTTGGCTTGTCTCCCCACCTCCCTGGATCCCTCTAAGTCCCACCCAGAAGCCTTCCCCCTGCCCTTCATTCCTGTGCCTTCCTTCTGCTAATTGTTTCCCGTGTATTCTATGTAAAGCTTGTTTCTATGCATTTGTTTGCTCGCTGTCTCCCCCATTAAATGGTGAACTTGGGGACCATGATTGCCTGTTGGCTCTCTTCGTATCCCCATGCTTAGCTTAGGGCCTGGCACACGACAGGTGCTTAATAAATGTTTCTTGACTGACCGATCTAACTCCCTCTAAGGAGGACTTCCTTCTGTGGCATTGAGACTGGATCGCCCATGTGTCCAGCTTCGTCCCCAGTAATTGAGGCACCTATCCCCCAGGAGGCCGCGAACGCACTAGCAACCTGGGCACTGGCAACTGCTCCTTAAACTCTCTTGCCTCTCCTGGGAATGGCAGTTGTGAGGCTGACAGCTGATTTTTTGGAAACTCCTTGTGACAACTTTCCTCTGCCCCCTCTAATGCAGACCTGCCCTTTCTCTGTTAATGAGTTGTGTGGCCTGAGAAATGAGGTAGGGTCACACACCCACTAGGTGTCTGGGGTCGGACACGAAGCCCGGTCTTCCTGACTGAGGCCAGTGTGATGTTTAAAAAGTTCAGGAGACATAATTTCTGGGTAATCAATCATTTTATTAACAATGCTAGCATATTGCCAATAAAATGGGTCAGTGACACTCTCAAATGCCAAAGAGGAATCATGGCAGTGGCCTCTAATACACCCTTGGAAGAGTGGGTGTTCCTGTGGGTGGCAATCACCTCTGATTGGTTGACAAGTAATGAGAGAGAATGAATATTGCGATGAGAAGTGGACCTATTCTAATGAGGGGCTGGGGATGTAACTTTAATTCTGTTGTTTACTTCTATATTGTCCAGCTTTGGTCAATCTAATCAAAGAATTGATCCTGTGCAGAGCACAGTGGGCTTCCCCACCTGGGTGGGGTCTGAACAAGATTGAGGAGAAAGTTAATTCAGTCTCATCATCAGCTAGGTCCTTCAGAGACTGAACAACCTAACCTACAGGTTTCTGAAAAAATCCTGGTCCTGATTCAATAATTATTAATATGAGGGATAAATAATCGTTTCTTTCACCAGCCACCTGTTCACTGCCCAAAACTGCCTCTTGCTAAAACAAGCCAACTATTTCTTCCCTAGAATTCCCGAGTGCCAGTGGTTCCTGACCCAACACTGGTGGTGAGCAGCTTGCATCTGAGAAGCCGTGGCTGTGGAGATGTTTGGGAGATGTTCTATATTTTTCGGACTTGACTTGTGATTTTGCCGGCAGTGGAGGTTGGCTTGTGCCATGCAGCTTAGAGTTATCTCAGAGAATTTGTTTGGGCACTTAGAAGTAAAGTGTGCAGACACACACACACACAAACACACACACACACACACACTTATGCCTGAGGCATTACTCAGAACCAGATCTTTGGACACTATGGCCAGCTATGGCCATTCAATCTATTACATTGCCTCCCGCATATCCTGAGCAATCTATAGATGGGTTCTATCTATACAAAAGAGAGAATAGTATATATACTTTTTTTTCTTAACAGGCTATGACGGCAGTCCAGGTGTGCCGTAAGAAGGGCTTAGATCAATGTGGCATTAAAGGGAGTGGAGAAAGGAGGCAGGAGCTACCCTGGGCAGAAGCCAGATGCCCAGTATTCCTGGCTACCCAAGAAGGTTCATCTAGTATGGTGGAGAGAAGAGGACAAACCACTGCTTCTATTGAAAGTAAGAAATTGTGCTTTATTTGGAGTGAGAAAGCTCATATCCCAAGCTGGAGCAGGGAGGAGATAGGGAGGACTGGGGAGGCGCAGGGTTAGGACACAGCATTGGCCCACACCTGTCCTCAGGCAGCACTGAGAAGCTTAGAGTCCCCTGGGGAGTGTCTGGCGGGAAAGACGTCTGTGGGAGGGGCCCTCAAGTGCTGGTGCACCAGAACCGGGGTCAGTGTTTGGGGGTGGTGTCAATGTGGGGAAGCCCTGTGGCATGGCAGAGGTCAGAATGGGTCATGCTCTTCCAGGTCAGCTCCATGATCCCGTAGGGTGTGCTGCCTGTCGGTAGAATCGTGTGGACCTGGTTCTGCCCAGCCAGGGGCAGGACCACCTGGAATTTGGATTGGTTGATTTTACGGTGAGTCCCACAGTACAAATGGCAGAGGAGACGCTCCCCAGGTATATCATCTTCCACGCGGAGGGCCTGCTTGTATGATATATCCAGTGGCAGGGAGGCCTTTTTCCGCAGGAGTTCATTAAACAGCGTGTGGACCCTGGTGGACCTGAGATGGTACAGATCCAGGAGCTGGTGGAACTGGGCCAGCCAGGAGGCGTTGTCTTGCTCGTACCGCTCCTGGAGGGTCAGTAGGACGCGGTAGAGAGCAACAAAGGTGTTCCAGGGAAGTATACCCTGGGGAAGGACGCCAGGGGCTCCCTTGGGCCGCTTCCCTGAATGCCTCCTCTGGGAACTGATCTTCCTTTTCCAAATCTGGAGGTCCCTTTTCAGATGCTGGATTAAAGGTGACTTTTCTACATAGGCAGAATCATGAGGCATATCTCTCAAGGATGACATAGTTACAGGCTCTTTGTCCTTGAACATCATTGAAAATTTCTTTGTCCAGTCCTCAGAGTCCTTAGTGGCTGAGCTGTTTGTAGTGGTGGAGGGGGGTGGTGGAGACCTCGGGAGCTAACGAGGTGGCTGGAGCACTGGCCCGGACAGACATCGACGTCCTCCGTGGGGCTGTGAGTGGAGGCTTGGCTTCCCCTCTCTGGATGGGAGGGATAACCTTCAAGCGCCCTGGGCCTATGGTGATTTTCTTCCTCTCCTCCTCAGAGAGGGTGGGCCCTGTGTCAGCCAGCTGCCTCCAGGGCAGGGTCATGGCCTGCAGGCTTGCCATGTGCAGCCAATCCCTTTGCTTCTCTGAGAGGACCTTGGCCAGCATCTGGTACAGGTGTTGATAGTTGTCACCAGAGAGGGGCTCGTGGTCCTGGAGCTTCTGCAGGGTGGCTTTCAGCCAGGCCCGATCCATCTGGCTGAGCTGCAGGGTGTCATCAGTGAGGTCAAGGTCAGCCAGCCCCACCAGGGGTTCTCCCAGCATGATCTGCTCCAGCAGCAGAAACCACTTCCACTTCTCTGTCTTTGTCGTCTTCTTCTTCTTCTTCTTCTTCTTCTGTTTCTTGGCTGCATAAGAGGGGACTTTGAGTTTTCTGAGCTTCAATAAGGCCTCTCTTCTTCCCTTTTCTTGACCTCTGGCCCCAGCTTCCAAAGCCACCTCCTTTCTGAACTTCTGAAACATGCGTCTGTGCCGGGCTAGATAGAGTTCCTTCTGAATGTTTTCCCATGAACTGGCAACATCTTGTACATCTCCCCATGGAGTTAGGACTTCAAGTTTCTTGAAGATCTTCTGGTACTTTTCTTCTTTCTCTCCCATGGTGAAAGGAATCGGCTTCAGAACTTTAGCCCCATGGCTTTCTTGGGACCCTTCTCAACTGCCTTCCTAGAAGGTTTTCCCAAAATGCCTTCCTCTGAGATGAATAGACTCTCTTCCATAGTCATTTCAGTGATATCGTATATATCTTTCTCTTCTTCCTCCTCCTCTTCCTCCTCCTCCTCATCTTCTTCTTCCTCTTCCTCTTCTTCCTCCAACTCCTCTGGCCCCTTCTCCAAGGGGTGTTCCCGGTGTTCCCTGGCCCTCTCCTTCTTCCTCAACTTCATTGCATTCTGAATTTGCCGAAGCTTCCTCTGAAGCCATTTCAACCACTTCTTCAGCTCCCCAGTCTCCTTCTCCTCCTCCTCGGTCATCTTAGAGCCAGTCTCTTTCTGGAGCTTGGCTCTCTCTGCCATGGCCACCTGCCATTCCTTGTTGGCGAGTTTCATCTCCCTGGAGTAGATCTTCTTCTCCAACAGGGCCAGTTTGCTCTCCTCCTTGGCCAGCCTCCTCTCTTCATCAACCAGTCTTTTCCCTTGGTGAGCCAGAGTCTTCTGTCTTAGGGCCATTTTCTTCTCCTCCAGGAGGAAAAGCTCTTCAGACAGCTTCATCATCGCCTCCTCTCTCAGAAGCTCCTCTTTCTCCATCTTCCTGAGCTCCTCCTTGGCCAGCTCCTTCTGCTCCTCCATCAGCTCTCTTTCTTTCCGGAGCTGCCTCCTCCTTTGCCGGACCCTCCGCCTCATCTCTGACCTTTCCTCAGCAGACTTGGCCAACTCTTCATCTTTCATCATGCCACTTGGCGTGATGGATAGCTCCGGCTTCTTCTGAAGCTTCCATCTCTTCTGCCCAAGCTGTCTCATCTGCTCACTGCTCAGCTCTCCCTCCTCGAGCTCCAGCCCTGACTCCTTCTTCCATTCATCCTCGCTCCAGTGTTCACTTTCTTCTGAGGACGGTTGCTTCTCCCTGGAGCCTGTCTCCTTGGAGGACTCCCTCTCCTCCCCAGGGGAAGAAGTCCTTTGGAGCTGCTCCTTTTCCCTCCATAACTTCTTCATCTCCTGGCTAATCTTCCTCTTCCTTTCCTTCAGCAAAATCCCCTCTATGAAGAGCTCCTGTTTCTCCATGGCCACTTCTTTCTCTTCCTGATCTAGTCTCCTCCTCTTTTCCCTGAGGTTCCTTCTCTTCTCTTTTTTGTACAGAAGCCTTTCTTCTCCCATGGACTCTTCATCAGGGCTCAGCTCCATCTCCTCCTTCAATAGCACTTGCTTCTTCCACAGACGCTCCTTCTCTTCCCTGATCACCTTTGCCTTTTCCGCAGCCAGCTGCTTCTCTTCCAACAACAGGGTTTTCTCTTCAGTGGGGAGCTTAATTTCCATCTGTGTTAGTTGAATCTTTTCCCGCCTTTCCTCCTTGGCTAATTGGATCTGCTCAGATGTCAGCATTTCCTTTTTGTGAAGCAAAAGCAGCACTTTCTCTGGCAGTATCCCCTTTTGCTCCAGGAGCAGCCCCTCCTCATGCAGTCCCTCTGCAGACGGACTTTCTTCAGACAGCACCTTCTCAGACAGCCTTTCCTCAGTTGACTCCTCCTCAGAAAGCCCCTCCTCAGACAGTTCCTCCTCAGATAGACTTTCTTCAGATGGCACCTGCTCAGACAGACTTTTCTCAGATGGACTTTCCTTAGATGGCCCCTCCTCAGACAGCCCCTCCTCAGATGGCTTTTCCTCAGACAGCCTTTCCTCAGATGGCCTTTCCTCAGACAGCCCCTTCTCAGATGGACTTTCCTCAGATGGTCTATCCTCAGATGGCTCCTCCTCAGATGGCCTTTCCTCAGACAGCCTTTCCTCGGATGGCCTTTCCTCAGACGGCCTTTCCTCGGATGGCCTTTCCTCTGATGACCCCACCTCAGGCGGCCCCTCTGCCGCACTTATTTTAGGCACTGAATGCAAGTCCCTCGTCTCCAGAAGATGTTCTGTTTCTTCCTGAGCCTGCCTTTTCCTCTCCCAGAGCTCTAATGTTTCCTCTAGGGCCCTTTCCATCTTCTCCTTTGCATCTGCCCTGTTCCTCCTAGCCAGTGTCTTCTTCTCCTGGGCCTGAGACTGGTCTTCCTTTGGGATACTGGCTCTGTGAGCCTTCTCCCTTGTCATATCCCTGGCCGGTCTCCTCTCTTCAATGGCCCTCGTTCTGTGCTCCCTGGCCAGCCTCATTTTATCCTTGGACTTCTGCATGCTATCCTTGAACAGCCTCAAGTGTGAGAGTTTGCCCTCTAAGGCCTCGTCTTCCTCCTCCTTGCCACTTAAAGACATTTTCTCTTCCTCGGCCAGTTCTACCTTTAACTGAGTCAGCTCTTTCTCTTTCCTGGCCAGCTCTTCCTCTCTCCTGGCCAGCTCTTCCTTTGTCTTGGCCAAATTGTCTTCTTCCCTGCCCAGTCTCTTCTTCCTCTGAAGCAGTTTCCACTCTTGCCTCCTGAGTTTAGCCTCTTGCAAGGTAAGGCCTTCAGTGTCTGAGAAAAACATTTTCCTTTTTCTGGCCTTTTGAAGACCCAACTCCTCTGACTCAGCCTCTGACTCTTCCTTTTCCTCTAAGACCACATGCTCCTCTTCTTCCTCCTCCTCCTTCTCCTCTTCTTTCGTTTCCCCCACCTCTTCCCCCTCGGAAGGTGGTAGGAAAGGACAGATGGCCTGGAAGAGTTCCCAGCTGGGGGATGGCTTTTCTAGCATCTCCTCAGCCACAGCCACTATCTCTTGACCCAGATCCTCAACCAGCTGTTTTTGGGAAGTCGAAATTCTCAAGTTCATTAGCCGGCAGATGTCATCCCTCCAGCTTTCGTCTTTGCCTTGTTCAAGATAGCCAGACTTCTTGGGCACTTTTTCATCCCTCTTCTCCTTGTCCTTCTCCGATTCTCTTCTCTCTCCTTCATGTTGTCCCTCCTCCTCTTCTTCCTCTGCCTTCTTACCGGCTTTACCCTTCTTCCTCTTAGCCCCTTTGGCCTCCTTCTTCAGGGGTGTCTCCTTGGACGCCGCTATGGCCTTCTTGAGGCGAGCTTGTCTCATGACCTTCAGGCTCATATCAACGTAATCACCAAGGGGTTCTTCGCTCGGATAATCCCGGCTGTCCTCCCTAGATGGTCTTTGTGTCTTGCTCTGAAGAGACTGAGTGGCTGACGCGGCTGATGGGAGGCTGACCTTGCTCTCAGTGGCTTTCGATGGTGACTTGGTACTTTCAGAGCTAATGGATTCAATGGGTTTTCTGCCATCTTGACTTTCAGCTCTGGACCTCTTGAAGGCACCCAAAGACTTGAATCTCGCTGCAGGAAAACACAAACACACACACACACACACACACACACACACACACACAATGTGACAGATGAGAGAAGTTGTCCCCTCTAAGGGAAGCTGGGCAGAACCCCTAAAAGGACAAGAGTCAAAGACACAGCCTATCTCTGGCCTCTATTCCAAGCCCAAAGCTACGGAAACTGATGCCTTCAATTGCCTCTTCATTGAGCAAACACTTATCAGGAAGCCCCTACTGGACTGGAAAGTATGAAACCAAAATGGTTAATAGAGTCTCCTGGACTCTTCCCCTTTCCCTTGCATCAATTGTATCCACTAGGTGGCGCCATGGTGCATAGAGTGCTGGGCTCATCTTCCTGATTTCAAATATGGCCTCAGACACTTCTTTAGCTGTGTGACCCTGGGCACCTGTTTGCCTCAGTTTTGCCAAGAAAACCCCAAATGGGGTCGTGAAGAGTCAGATACAGTTGAAACAACAATTAGTTCAGTCATGTTTCTGTCTCTTTATCTCTTCTTCTGTGGCCATCTCACGGCTAATGCCTCTTCTGTCTAGGCTTCACTTTCTTCTTACCACCATCTGGATCAGAGGCCATGCCCTGCTGACCTTAACTCTCAGTTCTGGGATTCTTACTAAGGGCCCCCCCCCTTCTTCTGACTGCCAAACAGATCCCCTGATTAGTTCCCAACTCCAACATTTTATCCTTAATCCTCCATCCCTGGACCTTTGTAGAGGCTGTTCCCCATGTCTGGATTAGAATCCTTCCCCACCTACCCCGCTTAAAAGCCTCAGAGGCTCAGCTCTCAAACTCTCCCAGCCGAAGGTGCTTCCTACCCCATCCTCCCCAACTCCTTTTTACATACCTGCTGTTGCCTTGTCCATATCCTTTCTAATGAGACAACTATTTCTTTGGATAAGCCAAGTCTAGCCCAGTACCCTGCACCTGGTAGGGGCTTGATAAATGTTTGTGGAGTTGAATTAAATGGAATGGGAAAGAAAATGAGATGCTCAGAGGCCATTCAGCTGCGGTCAACGAGTTCAACCAGGCGAGTGAAGGACCTGGCAAAGGGGACTGTTCATGACATCACCGGTGACTGTGGAAAGATCCTGGACCAGTGGATAGGTGGGCAAGGTTAGGGGAGAAGGCCAATGTGTTGACATTCATCTAATTCAATGTAATTGGTTTCCTTCTTAATCCTACATTTTATTTATTATGATGCTAGAGTATTATATTAATAATCAGTATATATTAATTATTATTATTTAGTTTAATTTAGTTTTAAAAAATTATTCTGAACAGTCTATACAGGCTCTTCCAGACTGACACAAGGCTCCATAACACAAAAAAGGTTAAACACCCCTGCTTTAGACCAGATGTGAAAAGTCTTTGAAAGCTACCAGATAGAGTGAAGTGACAGAAGCCTCCAAGTGTGCCCAATAGGATGGAATACTTAGTTGTATCTCTAAGGATTTTTCTTCCAAAAATTACTAGCATACCTCTGAGGAGCAAAGGTTGGGCTGATCTGTGGTAAAGAAGGGAGTCCTCAAGGTGGACCACTGATAACTCTCTTCATTCTAGCATACTTAACTGGCCAGAGTTTTTTTTTGGGGGGGAAGCTGTTCATCCATCCTTCCTTCCCTCCTTCCTTCCTTCCTCCCTCTCTCCCTTCCTTCCTCCTTTCCTTCCTTCCCTCTTTCTTTCCTTCCTTCCTTCCTTCCTTCCTTCCTTCCTTCCTTCCTTCCTTCCTTCCTTCCTTCCTTCCTTCCTTCCTTCCTTCCTCCTTTCCTTCCTCCTTTCCTTCCTTCCTTCCTTCCTCCTTTCCTTCCTTCCTCCCTTCTTCTTTCTCTTTCTTTTTAACATTATTTTTTTTGACAAATTTTGAGTTTTAAATTCTCTCCCTCCAGCCCACTCCTCCCCTACCTATTAATAAGGCAAACAATATGATTTCAACTATATATTTGAAATCGCACAGAACATATTTCCACATGTGGCTGCAATTGGGGGCACCTTCAGAAAGACCATGGTTGGCCTCATGTATTTCTTTCTTTCTCTTGCCTGCTCTGCTCTTCATTTGACGCTTTAGTCAATGGTGTCCAGTGGAAAAAGATGCTGATACTCCTCTCACCCCTAGAACATTCTTATTATTTTCACCCCATTAAATAGTCCCCTTTTGTTCTTGGTGAGAATCAGAGCCAAAACAGAATTTCCCCTTCACTGGTTCCTCTGCCCTTTGAAGGATGAAGTTATCATCAAGGCAAACCAGAAAGATCTGAGTTGCTTTGCTTTTGGCAGAGAGAGACAGTTCCAACAGAGGAAGCCTGGATAAGTCCCTCATTATTGCTACATCTTACCTCTGTTCGAGGCTTATGATGCTTTTCAAATTTTTCATCAATTTCCTCCTCTGGCCTGGTGGTCTGTAGTATAACTTGATGACAATATTGATTCTGTTTCTATTCATCTTCACCCCAGTGTTCGCCTCTATGCTTCCTCCATCTGGTTCCTGGATTAAGAAGTATGCCTTCTTAATATCCAATACCACCGCTCTTTTGAATAAAGTATAGCCTTCCAAAGTAAGCAGTCTTATCCCATCCAGTCTAAATGATATCTGTATAGCAGGGCACCTAAAGTGCTACCTCAAGAATCTTTGTGGCTTCAGGTTCAAAACTACTCACAGTAATGGTCTTGAGCTCCCATCCGTTGCATTTCCCCTTTTAGAACAGATAGAATGTTATCACATAATCTCATATTGCTATGAGAGTGAAAAGTGTACTTGAAACAGAAAGCCTTGAAAGAAACAGCAAACAGTACATGCATGCAATTCAGCAAATACGAGACCCAAACCCTTTCTTTGGCCCTCCCGAATCCCAGTCCTTGGTTAGCTAGCAAGATGAATCCTGAATCTTTCTTCAAGCGGCTACGCTAGAATCCCTCTCCACCAATTGGCACGTAAGACTTGCCCACTGCATGAATACAGAAGCAGTTATATCCCAAGGTCTCTGTTGGGTTGGTGGTGTCTCTTGGTTTTTTGTTTGTTTGTTTGTTTTGTTTTTGTTCGGTTTTTTTTTAGGCAATTGTGGTTAAGTGACTTGCCCAGGGTCACACAGTTAGTAAGTGTTATGTGTCTGAGGCCAGATTTGAACTCAGCGCCTCCTAATTCCAGGGCCAGTGATCTGTCCATTATGCCACCTAGCTGCCCCCATGGTGTCTCTTGTTACTGGGCAGTTAAGTCTCCACAGGTGTTGCTGCTACAAAGTCCCATAGATGAAGATTTCATGTGCTAAGTGATTGCATCAAATATCTTTTGTTTTGAGAATTTCAGTCACATTTATTTTGTTTGTTCAGGCTTAAAAAATTACTTTGTGGTTCTTGGTTATGTTCCAGATAGATGAGGCTGTCAGGTAACTGAATTTCCATTACTACGTGGAAAAAATGTCTTCCATTACATTTCCTTCCCTGCCTTTGGGAGACAATGGAAGATAGAAGGGCCTGGTGTGCCATGGTCCACAGGGTCACTAAAAGTCAGACACAACTGGACAAATGAACAACATTCCCTTCCATCGTGTCATTTTTCTGTTGGGACTTTTTGTGATTAAAACTAGACTGACTCTGGAATCAGACACCAGATTCTTCAGCGTGGTGGCTGGATGGCAGACTGACCTTGAATATCCCAGAGGTCATAACTCTTTACATCCTGAGCAGTATCACTGGGCTGGACTCTGAAGGCATCGGTTAGAATGGTAATCCACGTGGTAACCATTTCTTGTTTCTACAATGATGCGCTGTGAGCCCACTGAATATGTAGTTGGCAAACAACGGTTTTCCCTAGATGGTAGGTCTCCTCCTCAATTCCTCTCCAGGCAGCCCTCCAAACCCCCCTTCCCTTTTCTTCTTTCTTTTATTGTCATCTTTCTCTATTAGGATGTGGGCTCCCTGAGGGCAGGAGCCATCTTCCTTTCTGCTGTTCCCAGAATTTAGCACAATGATTGGTACACTGTAAGAGCTTAATAAATGCAGTTCAACTCCTGACTGACAGATTCTTTTGCCTATGAAAGTCAGCCCAGCACAAGCTATCCTGGGAGTTAGGAAGACTAGGGTTGAAATCTCGCCATTTACTGTTTGTGTGACTCTACACAAATGGGTGCATCAGGTACTTGGTTATGGAAATGTACCAATAACTGTCATCTGCCAGCAAGATGGGATGTTCCTTGTAGCGATAGCCACCATGGACCCCTTTCCTTCTCTCTCTTCGCTCTGAATCTTAACCGTGATGCTTCCTCTTTCCGCTTGCTCACCTGCAAGTTTGCTTGGTACAGTTGCCCAATTTTGTGACAGGAGGGTGGGCTGGAAGCATCTACTGATGGCAGCTGCTCAGACTTTCACGTATTTCCCTTATCCCTCTGAGTTTGTGATAGGATCTTGCTCTTGGTGATTATTCATACACTGGCCACTAGGGGGTGCCATAGAGCGTAGGGTGCCAGATTCATCTTTCTGAGTTCAAATCCAGCTTCAGGCATTTCTTAGCTGTGTGACCCTGGGCAAATCACTTGCCATCTCTGTTCCTTGGTTTCCTGGTCTCTAAAATGATGAAGGTGGACGTAATGTCCTCTCAGGTCCCTTCTAGCTCCAAATATGTGATTTTATGAATGGTTGGGCCCCTGACAGAAATAATGACGTCAAAAGGAAAATGTAGGTTACAGGGAAAGAAAAAAGCTCAGTGTAAGGATATAGTTGGAATGAACCTTATCTAATCCAATCCTCTCTTTTCACAGAAAAGGTAACTGAGGCCTGAAAAAAGAGAAGTAATTTGGCCCAGATCACACGTTTGCGGGAAAGGGAATAAACATTTACTTAGTGCCTACTGTGTGCAAGGCACAGTGCTCAGCGCTTCATAAATATTATCTCATTTAGTCCTCACAAAGACCCTGCGAGGGAGGTGCTATTGTTATCTCCATTTTACAGATGAGGAAACTGAGGCAAACAGAAGCTTAACATCACAGCTAGTTAGCGCATGAGTCTGGATTTGAATTCCGATCTTCCCGACCCTAGGGCCTCTATCTGCTGTACCACTGGCTGCATGACATGAAGCCCAGATGATCGACATGGCTTATCCTAATGTCCCAGAGGCAACGTAGCTGAAAATCAACTCCCAGTACCTTGACTCCAAATCTAGCTCTTCTGGTTGCCTTGGGCTGCTTACAAGGCCCTCTCAGGTCCTTTCTGGCTCTAATCTGTGGTCAGGTGTATGACAACTCTCATTCTACAGACAAGGAATCTGAGGGGAACAGATTTGCCCAAAGTCAGAGGTGGAGGCCTGTTTCCATCATATTAGACCTCTGCATTGGAGATGCTGGGATATTCAGGCCACAGCATCCTCCAGGTGGGAATCCAGGTGAGAGGTCAGGCCTGGAGACGGAGACTTGGGAATCATCCTCTATCTTGATGGAAGCAAGATGGAATGAGAACACCAGTCTACAGAGGGGGAAAATGTCAGCCCTAGGCTACAGTGAGAAGAGGGGGAGGACCAGAAAGGGAGCCAGAGAAGGAGTAGTGAGAAGCAGGGGGGAGGCAAGAGAGCATGGGGGCCTCAGAGGCTGAGGGACTGGAGGGTTTGTTAATAGTAATAACAAGAATCATTTGTATGGCCTTGTGAGGTAGATGCCCATTTTACAGATGAGAATACTGAGTTCACAGTAGGAGGGAGTAGTCAGCAGAGACAGGAAGCTTTTGTTGCGGGGATGACCCTCCCTTAGTTAGATCCTCCCTTTTCTGTAGGAAGTTCCACCCCTTTCTCCCTGTTCAGGTCAGCCCTTCCCTGGATGGCTACCCCGCTTTCAACTCCAGGGAATGCCTTGCAGCAATGCTCTGTACCAGCCCCATACCTGCCCTTCTGCTGAGATCCTTCTGTTTCTTTTGGCTTTTGGGAACATCTGAATCAGGAGTGGTCTGGGCACTCCTGAAGGCTGGGTGCTGAGTGAGGAGCAACAGCTCTGAAGATAAGTCCATTTTTGTTTTAATGTTGGTAGGGGTCAGGTCGTCGCCCAGCTGGTGCTCCACCATTTCCATTAGGTTGTGAAGGTCATGGAGCCGCATCCCCAGCAACTGGTCCAAGGACTCATCCCCAATCTTCTCCTGCCTGGGGGGAGCAAAGTCGAGGAAGTGATGCCCCAGTGCTAAGGGAGGGAAGAGCTCTGGGGAGGATGAGGAGAGGGGACTAGGAAGGGGAAGAGAGCAGGAAGGAGAAAGGACCAGGAGGGCCTCAGGAAGAGCAGAGAAGGGGATTAGGGCAGGGGCACATGGAGTGGGGAAGGAAAGAGGCTGAGAGATGGACTGAAGGTGGGAGAGGCCAGATACTCCCCCACTGGGTATGTTATTGGGGGCAATTCCAGGATCATTCATCAACAGTTAGAAGGAACCTCGGAGGACTTGCTATTCCAACTCCATTATTTGTTTGTTTGTTTGTTCGTTTATTGGTGAGGCGATTGGGGTTAAGTGACTTGCCCAGGGTCACAGAGCTAGGAAGTGTCATGTGTCTGAGGCAGGATTTGAACTCAAGTCCTCCTGACTCAAAAGTCAGTGCTCTATCCACTGCGACACCTAACTGCCCCCATTTTTTTTTTTTGTATATAGATAAGGAAACCGAGGCCAGTGAAGTGAAATACTTTGCTCAAGGTCTCATAGGTAGTGTCAGAGGTGAGACTGCAACCCAGGTCCTCTGACTTTTCTCCCCTAACCCTCTGGCTCCCGCATGAGATAGCCTTAAATTACAAAGTCCCACCCAGTTCTGGGACTGTCATTCTCTGGGCAGAAGTAAACAAAGGCCCAAGGAAGAAGAAGAGGAAATCAGAGGAGGCCGAGCCCCTGGATTCCCCGTCACTTACTGTAGTCCTCGGAAGGTCTCGCGGTTCCGGAGCAGCTCCGATAAGGCAGTCTTGTCACGGATGCCCGTCAGGGTGCCTATGAGTTCCCAGGCCTTCGCCTGCACTTTCTCATCCACATCCAGCAAACCGCGGATCAGGGGGATGGCAAAGAGGTGGCTGATGAGGCCGAGCCGCTCCAGGCCCTCCCAGGCGTCCCTCCGGATTTCAGCCTTGGAGTGGGACGTGTCGTTCAGCAGCTGCCGCGCCGTTTCTGAGCGCAGCGCCGGCGCCACATCGTAGCTGGCGAAGATCTGCGACATGAGGTTGATACATTGCCTGTATCTCTCGGGTAACGCGTTGTTCATCATGCCAAGCAGGGTCGTGATGGTTTTGTCGATAGAGAGGTCGCTCATCTGCCGACTTCGGTCCTTGAGGTTCAGGAAGAGTTCCTGAGACGGGGACATGGCACGCTGGGCTAGTCCCTCGTTGGCCTCAAAGCTCAGTTCTTCATCTTCTTCGTTCACGCTTTCCGTCGCAAAAAACCTAAACTTGGATCCGTCATACCTCAGGTCTCGCCGGCTGTCCCCTAGCCTGCACTGAAGGAAGACGGGTGTTCCCTCGGGCCAGAGGCGTGCCCTTACCACCGAGTTAGGGATGTAGCCATCTGGGGCGATGATCCACTTCCGCCCTTGGCCAAAGAAACGCTGCAGCAACCGCATAGGGTGCCGTCCATCCCAGAGTGCTAACTCCTCTTGGGTGAAGATGGACAGCGGAGGCTTCTGTTCCTCTGGGGTTTGGTCCAACATGAAGACAATCTTGCGTTTCCCCTTCTGGGACTTGCCCTTCAAGGCGACCTGACCCTCGATCTCTTCCACCACGTGGGGGACTGTATGGTCAAAGGCGATAGTCCGCAAGTTGGGCAGGGCATCTAACCCCCGGAGTTTCTGCATCCCTTCACCCACGTAGACGTAGCGAGGCAGGAATAAGGTCGCAAAGGACAAGAAGAAGCTAGGCAAGAATGGTTTGGCCACCTGTTTCACTTCGTCCTCCAGGTTCAGGCCAGCCAAATAGTTGAGCCGGGAAAGAGGGAGCAGCTTCATGCAGGATACCAGGTAGATACAACTGTTGAAAGTGAGGAGCAGATCTCCCCTTTCGTTGGCGAAGCAGATCGGGCCGAAGGGCACGCTGGAGTTGAATCTGGCCACAGAATTGCCTTTCATGTCCCAGATGCCCACAGTGCCGTCGCTGGCACCCGTGGCGAAGATCTCCAGGCTCAGGCAGATATCAAAGGAAACAATTGGGCGTTTGTGCAGGGGCACAGTCTCTCGGAAAGATGAGTTTTGGCTCATTTTAGGGGACACCAGGAAGTCGCAGTACTTCCAAAGCCGAAGGCGACTCTCATCGGTGATGGCGCCCACAGACTTGGGCATGAGGATCAGGTGGTGGATGTGGCAGCTGCTCAGGATGCTGGTGAAGGCGGACAGACTCACCTTTAAGCCCTTGAAGATGACCTCTGACAGGTGCACATAGTGGTCCAAGCCGTAAGAACATATCAAAGTGTTCTCCCTGGAGCTGCTCGGGGACCCAGTCAGGGTGGAGATGATCAGCACGGGTCCGATATGCATGCATTTCTCAGTGCGGGCATAAGCGTGCTTGGACAACACACTCACGATGCCGCTCTTGTGGCCGCAGTATATCAACCCATCTATGCTGCAGCCCAGGTGAGGCCGCCCGTAGGCCATGCACTGTATTTTATCTTCAGCGTCAGCGCAGGCCTGCAGGATGTATTTGGGCATAGACGGGCACTTGGTGGTATCGAAAACGATCAGGTTGGCGTTCCCCATGGCCACGAACAGCTCCCTCTGTTGGGGGTCGTAGGCCGAGGTGACGGCGCTGTCCAGGGCTGCGAAGGGCCAGGTGAGGAACAGGAGCTCGCCGGTGACGGGGCACAGGAAGCGAAAGAGGCCGTCCTCGGTGTGGCAGAAGATGAGGCTCTGGTTTTCCCCACAGCTGAGGCGTTCCAAGCGCCGGGGGCTGGCCCCACAGTTGTTAAAGAGCTGGTAGAAAGAGGACATGTGGAACAAGAGGAAGGCGTGCTGGGTGTGGCAGAAGAAGGTGCTGCGGTTGATGAACTGCATGCGGAGCAGCTCCTCTCCGCAAAGCTGAAGCCGGCGCAGCAGCATGCCCGACGTCAGGTGCCACTCCTTAAGCAGGCCCTCGCCGCCCGCCGTCAGCAGCGTGTGGAGGTTGGCGCGGTCGTGCACCAGCACCACGGGGCCCGAGTGCGCTTGGAAGCTGACAAAGGACTTCCGCTCGGCTCTCTGGTCCAGGTTCCAGATGAGGATCTGCCCGGCCTGATTGCCGCCGAAGAGGTAGCCCTCGCTGGAGCAGGTGCAGCAGCAGATTAGGGAGTGCCCGCTGTTGGGGGACGAGAAGGCCTGCAGCTCGTCCAGCTGCGTCTGGCCGCGCCACGTGAGGACCCGCAGAAAGCTCTCGCACATGGCCAGGATGGAACTCCCCGGCCCGTCCAGGCTGATCCCCTGCACCAGCTCGCTGCCGGACATGCTGACCATCTGCAGCATGTGCAGACCCTTCCCCCCTGGCTCGATGATCCAGGTGACCAGGGCCCCCGTGATGCCCGACAGCAGCACGTCGGCCGTCGGGGCGTAGGCGAGGCAGCTGATGGAGAAGCGGCTCGGGACCACGCAGCGCGCCTTGAAGCCCACGCTGTGGTCCCCGAAGACCCGTAGAAACAAGTCGCCGCAGTAGGCAACGAGCACGCGGTGAGTGTCTGTGTGAACCAGCGCCTGGACCGGGGGCAGGCGGTCCAGCTTGCGCATCTCTCTCTTCTCCACCGGCTGACGGCCTGTTTTTGGATACACCCACAGCACTGACTAGGAGGGGACAAAAGAAAGAGAGGAAATAAGCATTTATTAAGCACCTACTGCGTGCCAGGCACCATGCTGAGTGTATTGACAAATACTGTCTCATTGGAGCCTAATGACAAGTTGGGGAGGGAGCTGTTGCTATTACCTCCCCCATTTTACAGATGAGAAAACTGAGGTAAACTGAGGCTAAGTGACTTGCCTGGCCCAATTCTCGCATTTAGAGAGGAGGAAAGTGAGACACCAAGAGGGGAAGTAGTAGATAGGATGGTGAACTTGGGAGCGGGAAGATCTGGGTACAAATCCTACCTCCGACACAATGAGTTCCCAGGATCATAAAGCCAAAAAGAACCTCAGTAGCCCTGTCATCCCAGCTTCTTTATTTTATAGATGAGGAAACTGAGGCCCCTGGAAGTTAAGTGACTTCCTGAAGGTCACACATGAAATCAGCCAGTCAGTCAGTCAGTAAGCATTCATTAAGCGCCTGCTGTGTGCCAGGCACTATGCCAAGTGCTGGGGATTCAAAGAAAGGCAAAAGACAATCCCCGCCCTCAAGGAGCTTACAGTCTAATAGGGGAGACAATGTGCAAATGATTGTGTACAAACAAATGATAAACTGAGTAAATTGGACATAATTAACAAGAGAAAGGCTCTAAAATTAAGAAGGGAGGCTGGGAAAGGCTTCCTGTAGATGATGGCTTTTATCTGGGACTTGAAGAAAGCCAGGGAAGGCAGGAGGTGGAGAGGAGGCTGGGGAGGGTTTCAGAGGCAGGATGGGCAAGTCACATGATGTCCCTGGGCCTCAGTTTTCCTCTCTGTGAAATGGGGGCATCTAGCTTTTGATCTACGACTGGCAGAGGCACGGTTTGAAGCCAGGCCCCTCTGAGCTCTCCGTCCGTGGAGTGACTTGTGTAAAGTCACAACAGGTTAAGGTAAGTCACTGAACCTAGGTATTCTGGGTCTCTCTGCGACCTCCTCTCCAAGTCCGGGGCTACCTCAGCAGTGTGCTGACTGTTCCTGCACCCCTCATCTTCTTTTCGATTTATCTTCTGAGGCTCAGCTTGGATGGTGTGCTAGGCAGCCTAATGGGTGGGGGCAGGATGCTGTAGAATATGGCCCTGGGTAGGGGACAGAAAGGAAAACAAGCTTTTTTTGGTAGGTGCCTAGGGACAGGAAGTCTGGTGGGGATGGTACAGAAGGGGTAAAGGAAAGGACTGAGAAGCACTCAGTGGGCCTGTAACTAGAAATGGTGGTGCCAGGGGCAAGTAGCAACAGTGAGGATGTGTGTGTATGTGTGTGTGTTTGGGGGAGGGGGTTGTAGGCTCATCTTGGCCGTGACCCCAGAGGGGGTACAGTATGCCATAACATGCCCATTTTCTAAGCAGCTGAAGTGAGGAAGGGCTCCCAGAATGAGGCCACCTTGGGTTAGGGCAAGCAGGGGAGGAACTGTGCTATCAACACCCTCTACATTTTCCACCCTGGAGAAAAGCCCCATTGTCACACCCTCACTCAGGGCTACTCTAGGGGGTAGCCTTACTTTGACATCCTTCTTGCCTGCCCGCACCCAGGACAGGGAGGCAAAGTAGTAAGCGTCCAGAGCATAATGGCAGATGATGGGAATGTTGTGTAGAGAGTAGCTTTCCTCATACACCACCTGGGGAGAGTCATTTAAGACAATCTCGGGGTTCAAAATGCTTTCATTTTTCTGGAAGGAGGCCTGGGGGAGGAGAGAGAGAAAGAGATGAGGACGTGGGCCAACACGGCCCCCACTGCCAAGCCCAGGCACACGTCAATATGGCAGCCAGACGTCTTTCCCCTGAATGACTTCTTACACTGGTCCTCGTGGCCTCTTTCTCTGATTGGCTGGCTCCTCCCACACTTCATTTTAGGGAGGTTGCCCAGGCTAGCCACATCTTCATTCCTCTCTGGGCTGCCCTCCTCCCTCTCTGGGCTTTCTCTACCATGCCCCTGCTCTTTGCCGGTAGGGATCATCTTTCTTCTTGGCACACCGAAAGTGCTTAAATAAACGCTCATTGACTACTCGACTCGGCACAGATCCTACATCTAGACCCGGAAGGGACCTTGAAGGTCATCTAGTCTTCCCCCTTATTTTACAGAGGAGGAAACTGAGGCCCCAAAGGTAAAGCACCTAGCCCAAGGTCACAGATAGTGAGGAACAGAGCCAGGATTCACTTTAAATTCAGCCCCAATGGGGTAGGACTCTTGTCTCCAAATGGAAAGACAGCCTAGTCACAGTGCACGCTCATCCACCCACACCCACAGCATTGGATGAATGATGGGGTATAAGCCAGAAGCGCTATCCCCCGATGCTGGTGGGATTGCCCCACATCGCACGGGTAAGTGACTGTCAGAGGCAGAATTTGAACCAAGTTCCCCTCACTCCAAATCCAGGCCTCTGGGTGCTATACCACAATGAAGACCAAGTCTCAAGGGAGGGGAAGTAGTCATCCCCATGAGTGGACCTCCCTTCTCTGATCCCTGGGAGACTGGGAGACGGGGAAAGTTGGGCTACCCACCTTCCTCTCCTGTTCAGTAAACTACAGTGGCTTCCAATTACTTCTAAGATCAAAGGCCAAGCCCTATCGGGCACTTTACTCACAACCTGGCCCCACCCTACCTTTCCCAGCTTTATTACACATTATTTACTTTTTTTTTTGGCTAGGTGATGGGGTTAAGTGACTTGCCCAGGGTCACACAGCTAGTAAGTGTTATGTGTCTGAGGCTGGATTTGAACTCAGGTCTTCCTGAATCCAGGGCCAGTACCCCATCCCCTGCGCCACCTAGGTGCCCCCACATTGTTTCTCTTCACAGGCTCTGTGGTCCAGACAAACATCCCTGCTTAAATCTCTCATCTCTGGGCCTTTGCATCAACTTGACCTTCCAGCCCCTCATGCACTCCCCTTCTCACCTCTACCTCTGCAAGTACTTAATTTACTTCCAGATTCAGCTTAAGTACTAGTTTCTTCATCATCTTCATGGGGCCTTTGCTGAGTTTCCAGCTGCTTGTGCCTCTCGTTCCCTTCCACCCACACCTCATCCCCTTGCCATTATCTTGTATGTAAAACTTTTAAATTTAATTTTTATTCTAAACTTAAGCACCAAAAGAAGGGCATTTCTACTGACACAAAACACAAAGAGGATTGTATATGAAACTGAGAATCTCCATTTTGTATTGCTTGCTTTAAAAAAAAAAAGTATATAACACATTCTACATATTACTTTCAAAACTGTCCTACTTGTCTGTTCTTCCTTCTGAACTTTTTTTTTAAAATGTGAGGCAGTTGGGGTTAAGTGACTTGCCCAGGGTCACACAGCTAGTATCAAGTGTCTGAGGCTGGATTTGAACTCAGGTCCTCCTGACTCCAGGGCCAGTGCTCTATCCTCTGTACCATGTGGCTGCCCAGCATTCTTAAATCTTTCAAAGTTGTTTGTCTTTACAATATTTTTGCCTCTGTAGCAAATAAAATCAATAAAGCTAAACTGAGGCATAGGACTCCATGCAAAATTAGTTTATTAACACTGATGTGTATAACTATTAACAAATGGGTCAGACTGGCAATCTCAGTAAAACCGGCAACCCCAATGAGAAGGGGAGGACCCGCTTTATTGACATACAACAAAAAAGGAGTCTTGGAAAGGCATGGAACATTATGATTGGTTGTACTCAGAAAGGTGGGCTGGCATTCAAGTGAGGTTAATCATGCCCTTTTCTGACAACTAAGGAATATTGTTTTATGAGACCCATTTGAATCTTGTAATTCTTGCCAGGGGAGCAAAACTACCAGACTTGCTATCTCCTTGGAAGAGATAAAATCTCCCCAAATTTCATAAGGATGGGCAAGGACAGAAGACATATCTTTTGGGGATGGTACCGAGTTAACTTGTGGGGCTTAAAGATGACAGACAGATGTCCTGGAAGTATCCCAAGGGCTACCAGTATGAGAGATAATACTTTTTCTTTTAATTATAACTTTTACTCAGAGGGAAAGCTAAATTCCTGAGCTCAACTCAAGGACATAGAAAGGTGGCTTTAGGCAGACATAGACTCAATGATAAACGTCAATGCAGCGTAAAATCAATTACATTGTAGAATCAATCCAGTAAAAACTCTAAGTAATATTAATTTTTATCTTCTCACCTTGTGTAAAATGGTGTTCTCATCTGGCTTACTGTGCTCTGCTTCATCTCTTTCATAATTTCTTATATTGCAAGAATATTCCATTGCATTGGGGTGCCATAATTTGTTCAGCCAGTCTCTAATTGTTTAAGAGATCATCTAAGCAGAGGTCCCCAAACTCATTTGGCCTACTGCCCCCTTTAAAAAAAAAGGACTCAGTGCCCCTCTGGAAATCTACTTTCTTTAACCCTTTAACATTTGTTGTTATTGTTGCTGTTTTTCTTTTTTTTGAAAATTTTGTGTCACCCAAGGCTACTACCATACCCCTCCCCCCATAGGTCCAGCACCCCCCAGTACTGCCTACTTTGGGAACCTATGTAAAAGCATCCTCTTAAATTACAGTTTTTTCCTCCTCCCTCTTTTTTAATTCCCCCTTTGGCCTAGAGAATTTTTTTTTGTTGTTATTTTGACTGGTATTTTCCTTTCTTGACCAGGCAGTTTCCTATCTCTAGGCTTACTTCTCCTCCTCTCTCAAATGAAGAGGTTGGTCCAGATGACCTCTGGGGTCCTTTAGTGCTCAGCGTGTGATCATGCCAATATTGAAATGTGGGCCGTTATCAATAATAACACCCTTCCCATAAGTTCTGCTATTACCAGTACTGATGAAAGTTGGCAGAGGGTAGATAATGCTTTTGTCCGAAGGACTGAATCTTTCCTGGGTGAATTTCTGGCATCATGGCAGGCTGAGGGGGAGAGACTTTTGGGTGAGGGTGTCATGGTGGTCTGAAGAGGGGGAGACAGTTTTAGGTAGGGAGACAACACAGCATGGACTATGGTGTTTCTATGGCAGCCCTGATTTGAGGGCCGGAGGATTGGGGCTCCACTATCAGCTCAGCCACCAGCTATATAGTTCCTTTATAACTAGGCTGGTCCATTCCTTGTTTAAATCCTCAGTCTTTCCATCTGTCTGATGGGATTTCACTCAATGCTCTTAAACACTTAACTGCAGAGTGCTGTGCTAAAATTGGGGGTATAAATGCAAGCAAAAAAGAGGGACTCTGCCTACCTCTGAGGGGTTTCCACTGAGAGATCAATATAAGAGGGAACTGAAAAGCTGGGGGTGGGAGGAGAAGACAGCTGAGGCGCGGCGGCAAAGCCTGGGCCCTTCATCAAAATGGGGGTTCCAGGAGAAACTCACCAACACAAAGCTCTCTGCAGGGACAGAGCCCTCTGAGCCTCAATGTTCTCATCTGTGAAATGGGATAATAGCACTCAAAAGGCATCGTGGATAAGGAGCTGGCCTGGGAATCAAGATGGCCTCGGTTGAAGTCAGGGCTCTGAAACATACTGACCTTGAGACCAGAGGCAAGTGTCCTGACCTCTCAGTTCTCCCTAGTTTCTAAGTGTGAGCAGAGTGAGATCATAGGAACCTAGATTGAGACGGGGAAGGGACCTCAGGTTGGCCATCTAATTTAGCTCCCTCATTGTACAGATGAGGAAACTGAGTCACAGGGACATTAAGCAACCTAGGATTGAGGTTTAGAACTGGAGGTGGACCAGTCCAAACTCCTCGCTTTATAGATAAGGAAAACAAGTCCCAGAAAGGGCGAGGGATTTGCCCAAGGTCAGGCAGGTACTAAATGTCAAAAGTAAGGTCTGAACCCAGGTCCTGTGACTGCAGGGCTCTCTTCCCTCTCTTTACTGATGAAATCGCAGGTCTGGATAAACTAAGTAAAGAACCCCAGATAAAAACCCCCAGACCGCCCCTACAGCACTGTCGTGAGGATTGAATGAGACTTCTGTACTTGGCAAAGCTTGAATCACTGTGGAAATGCTATGTCATTAGTGGTAAGGACCCCGGACCTAGGGTCAGGAGAGAGACCTGGGCTGGAATCCCTCTTCTGACACTTGGTAGCTGAGTGACCCGAACAGGTCACAGTTCCATACATCCGTAAAACAGTGGCACTCACAATCCCAGACTTCTTGTGATGGAACGTGCTCTGCAAACCTTCAGGTGCTGGGGGAATTCCATTTCTTGTTTGTGCCTCCTCTCCCCCAAATAGCCCTTCTCCCAGAATTCCCTTCCTTTATTCTATGACAGCTCAGGCCATAGATGAAGTCTGGGGTGGGGGGGGGAATGAAGCTTTGCAGGGCTATCTCTTTCCCATTTATCTTCTAGACTCAGAGCTGGAGGGGATCTCAGAAGCCAGCTGGTCTAAACTTCTCATTTTACAGACAGGGAAACTGAGGCCAAGAAAAATGAAATGATTTTTCCCAAGCTCATCCAAGTAGTAAGTGGTAGAAGTGGGATTCCAACCCAAGCCTTGTGACTCCACACTCAGTCCGTGCCCTTGGCTGGTCTGAAAGGGCTGTGAAGTGCTCACTTTCAAGGATAGCTTTGTCATCTGAACCATTCCCAAGCCACTACTCCTCCATCTTTAATGGCACAGCTGACACCTTTTTTTTTTTTAGGCAGTTGGGGTTAAGTGACTTGCCCAGGGTCACACAGCTAGTAAGTATCAAGTGTTTGGTCTGAGGTCAGATTTGAACTCAGGTCCTCCTGACTTCAGGGCCAGCGTTCTATACACTGCACCACCTAGCTGCCCCACACAACTGACACTTTTTGACCCCAAGTGCAAGGCTTTATGTGTATGCTTATTAGATTGAATTATATTAGATTCGCCGTGTTACCTCTTCCATTTCCCGTTTCTCATTTATAATACTTCTCAGGGTTTTCACATCAGGAATGATTCTGTTGTGTATGTCCATGGTATTTTCTTTGTCTTCTCCAGATGTCTCTGACTATAGTACCTAGGGGAGTTTAGTTTCATAAGGAACTAGATTTAGGGGGACCTCAGAGCTCATTGAGTCTCATACCCTTATTTGACAGGCAGGGAAACTGAATCCCAGAGAAGTGAAGTGAGTCATGTAGGCATCTGAAGGTTGGATTTGAACTCAGGTCTTTCTGATGCTACACCCAGCCTTCTACCCACTGTACCACTTAGCTGCCTTGAGATAGAGTTGGGATTCGAACTCGAGTTCTCTATCTCCAAAGTCAAATTCTCTCACCACTGTGCCACCTTGCTTCCCTCAAAGGGAACTTGAGGCTTGGCCATGCAGTGTGGGAGATGGTGGAGGGAATGTTGGGAAGGAAGTCCTTTATGTGATTCAGGGCTTTGTGGGGTTAATGACTCACAGTGGACAGCCAAGAGTACTCCGAGGATAAAAGACTGGGGCGTGGTAAGCAATGGCCTCTCGAGTCTCCCCCACCTCTTCTGATCCACAGGTCTGAAAGGTTATGATGCCATGTCTGCAGCTTTGAGACCCAGACCTCTGGGTTCCCAGCCTTTGTTAGCCTTTGTCTTTGTTCTCTGTGAGCTCACATGCCTAGAACCCTGTGTGTCATAGATGGAGCCTTTGGCCTCCAGCCAGCCTGGGTAAGGGTCAGCACCTCCAGGCCAGTCCAGGAAGCTATCCTTGCCTTGACTCACAGGCCATAGAAAGAACGCTGGCCTCCCAGCTCTTACGCTTTCTAGCCTGGGTCACTCCTGGGCAAATTGCCTTTTCCCTTTTCCCCAGTCTAAGGGCCTCATTTCCTTCTCTGTCAGATGGGAATGGTGATATTTGTGCTGACCTCACAGGGTTGATGTGAATAAGGATGTTCACTGACACCTTTGTCCTCTTCTCTGGTCTGACCACATCTGGACACTGAGAGGCTGAGAGGGTCCCAGAGGAGGGCGACCAGGTTGCTGATGAGACGATCGTGAGATTAGCTGTAAGGGTTCTTGGGGCCAATGAGTTGAACTCGGTCATTGTACGGATGAGGAAACTGAGGCCCAGGGTCACCCAGGTAAACATCAGAGGTCCTGGATCTGAGCCCAGGTCTAGTGTTCTGTGCTGCTTGGGGGCCATATCCTTATACAAAGGTTGTTTGAAAGAACTAGGAAACTTCCAGCAAAGGCTGATACATTATAGTTAGACACATAGCAGGCACTTAAGAAAAGTTGGACTGACCGATTCCTTTGCTCATGGGTTGGAGTAGATCGATTCCCAATCACATAGTGTGTGATTCTGGACATGTTTAGCCTGGAGAAGAGACGGCTCAGTGGTAATCCAATAACAGGGTTCAAGTATTTGTGAAATTTGTTGGCAAATATAGTTGGGCAAAATAATTCCTAATTATTGTTTTAATTTCCTCTTCCTTGGTGGTAACTTCGCCCTTTTCATTCTTGATACTAGTAATTTAGTTTTCTTCTTTCTTTTTTTAAATTAAATTAACCAAAGGCTTATCTATTTTATTGGTTTTTTCATAAAACCAGCTCTTAGTTTTATTTATTAGTTCAATAGTTTTCCTAATTTCTATTTTATTAATTTTTTCCTTTGGTTTTCAATATTTCTAATTTGGTGTTTAGTGGGGTTCAAGTATTTGAAGGCCTTTCGTGTGAAAGAGTAGTTAGAAGTATTCTCCTTGGCCCCAGAGGAGCAGTGAGGAGCAGCTGCAGGGGGGCAGACAGATTTAGGCTGGATGCCAGGAAAAACCTCCTAACAATCAGAAATCTCCAAAAATCTAGAGGGAGTTCTTCACTAGTGGTGTTTCGACCACACTGGAATTCTTCAGGCAGAGGTCAAAGGTGGTAATGAGCTACCCATCACTAGGGGGACTTCAAGCAGAGAGGGGATGACTGCTCAGTCAATATATTGTAGGGATTCTTACTCAGATAAGGGTCAGACTAGATGGCTCTGGGGTCCCTTCCAGCTTGGAGATTCTAGGATTCTGAAGAAAGTCCCTAGAAACCCTAAAATCAGGATGGGAATGGAAGGTAAGAATCATGGATAACCTTTACTGAAGTTGTCACCTGATGCCTCCACTTGGCATGGAGGGGATGCTAGCTTCTCAAAGGCAGTGCTAGGGGAACGCAAGCTATCGAGGTGAAAAGACTTTTAAATAGGGGTCTGAGGGAAGCAGACTCTGGTAGCCACTGACACACCTCCTTGGCTAAAGTCTAATCTTAGATAGACTGGTGTGTGTGTGTGTGTGTGTGTGAGAGAGAGAGAGACAGAGACAGAGAGGAAGGGAGGGAGGGAAGGAGAGAGAGACAGAGAGAGTATGTGAGAGAGACAGAGAGAGAGAATGAGAGAGAGACAGAGACACACACACACAGAGAGAAAGAAAGACACAGAGAAAGAGACAGAGAGAGAGAGAAACAGAAACAGAGACAGAGAGGAAGGGAGGGAGCAGGGAGGGAGGGGGAGAGAGAGAGAGAGAGAGAGACAGAGAGAGAGAGAGAGAGAGAGAGAGAGAGGGGGGAATTAATCTGTAGAAGCAGCTATCTGGGGGATAGTCACAACCAGATGCCCCCAGCTCCTTCTCTCATTTCAGCATCGCCCCCCTCCCCAGGTTCTCTTTCACAGCCCATCTCCAATGCAGAGTTCTTTCCCCTGCGCCCCTCAGACTTTATGGGCTTGTCACTGGTTAGGGCCATGAACTGGAAATCCATCTATCCATCAACTGATCGATCAACAGCCTTTATTAAGCATTTACTACGTTCCAGGAGCTAAGTGAGGGGTTGGGAAGACACACGAGAAGAATGAATCAATCCCTCCTCACAAGGAGTGGGCATTCTAAATGGGGAGATAACAGCGACACACATAAGTTTACCCAAAATAGCTGTAAAAGAACAAATATGAACTACGTACACAAAAGCGTAGCACGTACACTCTGTCTGCACCTCTCTAAAATTTGGAAGGGACCTTAGAAATCATTGAGTACAACCCTCTCATTTTATAGTTGAGGAAACTGAGGTTAAGTGACTTGCCCAGAGTCATTCATCTAGTAAGCATCTGAGGTGAGACCTGAACCCAGGTCTTCCTGACTCAAGTCCAATGCCCTCGTCCCTATGTCAGGCATGTTGTTGTTATTCAGTCGTACCTGACTCTTCATGACCCCATTTGGGGTTTTCTTGGCAGAGATCCTGGAGTGGTTTGCCATGTCCTTCTCCAGCCATTTTGCAGATGAGGAAACTGAAGCAAACAGGGTTAAGTGACTTGCCCAGGGTCACACAGCTAGGAAGTGTCTCAGGCCTGATTTGAACTCAGGAATATGAGTCTTCCTGACTCCAGGCCCAGTGCTCTGTGCCCTACCGGCCCCCTCCAATTCTTAGGGGAGGGCCTAAAGTCAGATCCAAGCTCTCTCTCCCCTCCCAACTCCCTTCCCTCCTCCCCCTCTCCCCCCAAGGTTCTCAGCTTTCTTCATGAAGGGACACGCCCTCAGAGGCACTCTGGCCACATGCAGGCCTCCATTGTTGATGCTGGCTCTGTCCTGGCTGGTCCCATGTCTGTGTCGCATCCCCATCTCCTGTTATACCTCTAAGTCTCATCTAAACTTTGCATCTCCACAGACCCTTAGCAGTGTTCTGCACCAGACTGGTACTTTATGAATGGCCATTGAAGCAGCGAGTGGAGGTTCTCCACGGCTATCTTAGCCACCCTCATGAGCCTAGGGAAACCCCCGTTCTCTTAGGCCTGTCATAGCTGGCCCTCTGGATCTAGGGGGCTGTTGCCCCAAGGTCTGAATGACTGGGAGCTGGCTCAGAGCCTTTTCCCTGCCAGGGAGGCTTGTGTTTTCAAAGTTTGGTCGCATTTAATTCAAAAGCTCAATGAATGACTCTCCTGGAAGATTTTGGGCTGGTGGGAGAGGCCTTCTTGGGCAGGCAGGGTCTTCCTTCCAGTCTTTTATCTATATGTACCAAAGGTGAATTTCCAGCAAGAAATCATTCCTGGCTTGTGCATGTCCTGGTCCTTCCATCTCAGTCTAGCCTGACCTTGGCTCCTGTTCATTGGTGGGAGTGGGGAGGTCAGAGCTCTGTCCTTCTGTAGTTCTCTCAGTGACAGCAACGAGACCATAAATTCAAAGCTAGAAAAGACCTTAGAAGTCAGCAAGTCCAATCCCCTTATTTTACAGGTGAGAAAACTGAAGGGCAGAGAGGTAGAAAGCTTCTGAGGTAGGATTCAAACCTAGCTCTTCCTGACCCTCAAGCCAGCAGTCTATCTGCTATGTCACATTGCGTGCTCAGGACCTGAGGATGTGAAGGCTGGAAGGGACCTTGGAGATCATGGAAGCCAACTCTTTTGTGTCATTTTTTCCTTTTCCTTTTCTTTTCTTTTTTTTTTTTGGCTAGGCAGTGGGGTTAAGTGACTTGACCAGGGTCACACAGCTAGTAAGCGTCCGAAGTTGTATTTGAACTCAGGTCCTCCTGACTTCAGGCCTGGTGTTCTATCTACTGTACTACCTAGCTGCCCTGAGATTTTAATTACTGCCAGGAGTAAAAGCAAGAAGTTGGGAGCAGAAGCCACTTTGCTTTCCTCAGAGAGAGGAGGGATATTGGACTGGAATTATATCAGTCTACTCCTTTAAATATTATTTGTCTAGGGGATGTAGTCTTCAGATTCAAGCTAACTTCTGGTCACTGTTTCATTAATGAGAAGAAGCAGGATCCCAAGCTTTATATCCAAAACTAGACCCTTCCCCTACCTACTAATACCAGTCCTGCAATGAATGTACATAGCAATTAGCAAAGAAACCCATTTATCCAAATCAATACCAAACCAGGTATCAGAGAACAGATACACATACACACAAACATATATACCCACATACATATATGTGTATACACACACACACACACACACACACACACACACACACACACCCCACAACACAGTGAAGGAACTCTCCCATTGGGAACAAGGGAACTCATATCAACCGTGAGGGAATACTGGATCTCATCCAAAAGGAAGTTCCCCATAGTCTTCAGTGCAGCAAGCTGGGGGCAGGAACATGGCGGACACATCTAGCTCCTCTCATGCCAGCTTCTTCCCAAAGTCTTTTCCTTCAGCGACCTGAAGTGGTCTTGGCCTCTTCCATCTTTCCTCTTGAACGGGAAGAAAGAAGATCCTGAAGTGACTGAGGAGACTCCGATGGAGTGGAAGAAACAGTGACTCTCTTCTCTTCTGCTGTCTTAAATTCTGTCTCACTCCTCTCAGAGATGCAAGATGTTGATTTCCTCCAATTCCCATACCAACAGACTTTGGGACGGTAGTTACAATTAGGCACAACTACAAAACATTCTACAGAAGTAAAGGAAGACAAAAAATAGAAGTGAGGTTAATTTTTCGTGCTTAAGCTGTTCCAAGGTAAAAAAATAAAATGATGTTATTAGTTAGATTTAGAGCCATACTCATCAAATGACCAAGAGTTTACTTTTTAGAACTAGACAAAATAATACAATTCATCTGGAAGAA